GAGAAGGAGTTAGTTCCTGTCTGGAAAGCAGGGGAGAAGGAGCTGGGGAGGGGGCTGGGATCCCCCCATCTCAAGGGGGGCACTGAGGCCTCTTAGCCCCAGTTCCTGTAACCAGATTACATCTGTGCTGTGCTGTGTCCTGGAGAAGCATTAAACTACCTCCATTCTCCTGGCTGGTGGAGTCTGTTTGTGCCATTTCGGGGTGCAGGAGACGGGGGACCCCCAATGCTCCGTCACAGCTTGTAGGAGCAGGTCCTCAGCGCCACCTTCCCCTGGCACTGCACGTCCGTCAGCAGGACAGGCTGTGACTTGGACCCTGGGCCGAACACGCCCCCAGCTGCCTGCACACCACGGCCACGTCCTTCTCGTCCCAGTCGTCGTCACACACGGTGCCCCAGCGCCCGGCCACAAGCACCTCCACTCGCCCGGCGCAGCTGTGGGGGCCCTCCACCAGCCTCACATCTGGCAAAGCAAACAGCTGTTGGGGCGCCTGCTCCGGGCTGCGGGGGCTGAAGGCCCAGCCCAGCGCGAGGCATCGCCAGCAAGTGCAGAACAGAGCAGAATGGGCTTCCCCCGTGACCCTGGGCCCTTCGCCTGCATCTGCCTCCATCTCCCACTGGTCGCTGAGCCCCACAGAGGGGCACAGAATCAGAGTCCCTGCTGTGCAGAAGGGAAACTGAGGCACAGAGACAGGACTTAACTTACTCCTAATCACACAGTAAACTTTGAATAGAGCAAGGAATATAACGTCCCTCCACTCTAACCACTAGACCCCACTCTCGACCCAGAGTCAGGGACAGATCCCTGCCCACCCCTAAGCCACCTTTAAACACCAGTTCCTACTCCCTTCCCAGAGACGAGGACAGAAGCTTGGTCACTGGCTCATGCAGAATGGGGATCAAGACAAGGATGGGTCTGGACCGGAATCCTGGCTCCCCATCTGTCCCTTCCCCTCCAGCTCTTCCCAGTGCCCCTCGCCCCGTTTCCACTCAGTAGCGTGAGCATTGAACACCCAGCGCTCCCCGCGTCACTGGGGAGAGATGGGGGGTTTGCCCTGGAGATCGGCCGCATGCCGGTAGAGCACACGACTCCTGGGCAGTCACAGTCGTGCCCCTGTTGTGGGGTCAGTGCTGGTAGTTGGAGGGGAGACACCCTGACTCACCCCAGTGCCAGCTGCACCTGTCCCTACCGGTCCCCACTCATTTGCATACACCACTCACTGTCCCGTCCCCCCACCTTCGGGGGAACTGGTTACACTCCCCAGCTCTGTCATTCACATCCGCACTGTCCGGTGCTGCCCAGCCTGGAGAGTGTCCATGGGCGTGTGACGCAGCGGGGACTCTGCCCACTTTTGTAGCCACAGTGTCACTCCAGTTGTGCACTCACTGATTGCTTTGTTGCGCTGTGTATGATTCCTGATGTCCTGTGCTGTTCTGCAGGGATAGTACTTTAAAGACTAACAAATGTAGATCAGCGTTCCCAAACTTTTCAGCATCACGCCCCCTTTTTGATTTTTAAGAAACCATCACATGCCCTCCCCCCCCACACACACTCCATAGGCCTTCATCAGGAACTTGGTGACTGGCGCATGTAATGTGATCGCTTTAACAATCTCATTCTCCACCTTGTCTTTCCTTTTATTAATACACCCTTAGATTTCAGATGCTAAAGGCCTGGCCCAGTGTCCACTTTTGGGTAAGAGCTGAGGTACAAATTGAGCCGGGACTGGGGCTGGCCCTTGGGAACAGGAGAACCTGTTCGGAGTCAGTGAGATCGGTCTGATAACCCCTCCTCTGTGTAAGGAGCGGTGCCGGCTGTGGCACGGGTGAAGCTGGAGTGTCTAAGGGGATTGCGTGTGTGACTTCCTACTGGCCACACTGGCAGCTGAAGTGGTTTGTGTGTGGCTAGCTTGGCGCCTTATGGAGAAGGGCCCCAGTCTAGGGCTGTAAGTAACCCTGGCTGTAAGAATTCTCCCTGATGTGACCCTCTCAGCGGTGCCCCGACCACCTGGCATGTTACACCTGCTCCTAACCCTTGTGCACAGACCAGCCCCATCGGACCCTACCAGCACAGACGGATCCACACTCCGGGTACGTCTACACTACAGCGCTAGTTCGAACTAACTTAGTTCGAATTAGTTAATTCGAACTAAGCTAGTTCGAACTAACGCATCCGTCACCAAAGCAGAGCCAGAGGCAGAGCCGCGGGTCCCCAGGGTGAGCCATCAGAGAGCCCTGCACACTTAGGGGGTGTGTTCCGATCTAGGTACCACTGTCAGGCTCTTTCATTGGTGCAAATCCCCTGCAAACCCCCAGGTTCCTCCCTGAGCCCCAGGGCCTGGCGGAGGGCAGGTGCCTTTCTCACAGGCCCCTAAGAACTGGGAGCAGAGCGGGGTTCCTTGAGCTCTAGGAACTGGGACAAGGTGGGTGCCCTGCCCTAGTGTATGTAGGTGACACCTCCCAGAGCCAGGAACAGAACCGAGGAGACCTGGCTCCCAGCCCCCAACCCACTAGGCCTCATTCCCCTCCCAGGGTACTTCTACACTAGCTCATTAGTTCGAGCTAGGTAGGGTAATGAGGGCAAGCGGAGTTGCAAATGAAGCCTGGGATTTAAATATCCCGGGCTTAATTTACATGTTCCCGGGTGCCACCATTTTTAAATCCCCCTTAGTCCGAACTCTGTGCCCACATTCCACGAGGAGTAATGGTAGTTTGAATTAGGATCTTTAATTCAAACTACCTACTCCGTGCCGCATGTAGCTGTGGGCACGTCGTTCGGACTAAGGGGGTTTAAAAATGGCGGCACCCGGGAACATGCAAATGAAGCCCAGGATATTTAAATCCCAGGCTTCATTTGCAACTCCGCTTGCCCTAATTCCCCTACCTAGCTCGAACTAACGAGCTAGTGTAGACGTACCCCCAGAGCCAGGGAGAGACCTCAGGAGTCCTGCCTCCCAGCCCCCAACCCACTAGGCCCCACTTCCCTCCCAGAGCCGGAGATGGACCCCAGGAGTCCTGACTCCCAGCCCTGCTGGGGGCTGTCAGTCGCGGGCAGTGTGTGTGGTCACTAATCCTGCTGCAGGAAGGAGTTTTCTGTTTATAACCGCTTCAGGTCAGCTCACCTTGGCAGCGAACCCCCGCGTCCTCGTCATGCTCACAGTGGTGTCCTGCATCCGTGTACGTGCAGGTCCCCAGTGCCGCCTCCGTCCCCTGGCACTGCACGTCCGTCAGCAGGACAGGCTGTGATTCGGACCCTGGGCCGAACACGCTGCTACTCAGGGACTCCACAGCCTGCCCGCAGCCCAGCTGCCTGCACACCACGGCCACGTCCTTCTCGTCCCAGTCGTCGTCACACACGGTGCCCCAGCGCCCCCCCAGCAGCACGGCCCCCCACCAGCCTGACATCTGGCAAAGGAAACAGCTGCTGGGACGCCTGCTTCAGGGCTGCGGGGTTAAGGCCCAGCCCAGCGTGAGGCATCGCCAGCGAGTGCAGAACAGGGCAGAACGGGCTTCCCCTGTGACCCTGGGCCCTTGTCCTGCACCTCCATGCCTGCACAGGCAGGTCACTGAGCCCCAGGACATGCTGAAGCCTCATTGCCCCTACTTTGCAGAAGGGAAACTGAGGCATGCAGCCAGGACTTGACTTACTCCTGGTCACACCAAGAGCCTTGTACAGAGTAGGGACTAGAACCTCCCTCCACTCCACACACTGGGGAGAGAAGGGGGGGGGTCTCCCCTGGAGATCAGCTGCCTGCCTGCAGAGCACACGACTCCTGGGCAGTCAGGGCCGTGCCCCTGCTGTGGAGCCAGGGCTGGCAGTTGGAGGGCAGAACAAGGTGGGCGTGTCCCTACCTGCCCTCGCTCATTTGTATACACCACTCACTGCCTCCCCCTCTGCCCAGGGAACTGGTTGCACTTCCCGACACTCTCTTTTGTATCCACACTGCCCAGCGCTGCCCAGCCTGGACAGGTCCCATGGGCCCTGCTGTCAGCATGCGGCCAATGTGCTGGGTCAGGGCTGGGATACAATGTGGGCCCCAGGAGAGTGGGACAACAAGGGGGTGCCCCGTGGGGAGAGGGGCCACCCTGACCGGGGAGATGGAGTTAGATTGTGTGTGAACACACGGGGCAGCTCGGCGAGGGAGGCGCACCCCGTGGAAAGTTATTTGGTGGTGTCTGGGAGGGAGGGTTATTTTTTTATTATTATTAATATTTTCTATACCAAAATGCCCCCCCCCCCCTATCGACTGTCCAGGTGGTGGAGCTGGCAGGCTCCCTGCTGCTCTCCAGAAAGCAGTGAGCACGTTCCCCTCTGGATCCTATGTGTAGCCCTAGGTCCAGGGTGTTTCAGTAACAGCCCTGGGAACTACAAGTTGTGGCCTTGGCAAGTCCCAGTGCAGGCTGGGCCTGGCAGCACAGGGACAAACCAGAGCGGCTGGACGGGGAGAAAATGAGTCCCATAGTGGGCAGCTCCTAGAGCCTCGCTCCCATTGCATGCTGGGACCTGCCCTCGGGTAACTGACTTTGCAAAGCTGGTCCGTGACACCAGGGTGGGATCCTGGCCTGGGCTCTGGCAAAGGGCAGGGGCCGAGGGGCCAGACGTACGTACCTGAGGGGGCAGAGACTCCCACGCCGGCAGCTGGGGAGAGAAGAGGAAACTGTCAGGAGCAGAGAGGGGCCCTCGCACCCCAACACGGTTCCTGCAGAAAGGTGGCGCCAGGTGGAGCAAAGTCCAGAGCGGTTGGGGCCAGTCACAGCAGTGACAGGTGCAGGCACCCATGAGACCGGCGCAACCCCAGGCTGCTTGGCCCCCCTCTTAACCCTGGTGCACAGAGAAGCCCCATCAGGGCCCAGCCCGTCCCCGCCAGCACCTCCCACAATTGGCTGGGGCCTGACACCCCCAGGGGGCCCTCAGAGGCCCAGCCGCAGGTCCATGGCTGCCCGAGCGAGTGGTTCCTTCGTGCCACGATCCAGTGCCAAGAGCATCTCACCCTCCCACCCAGGGCAGCCCCTTTTACGGCCTGTGCAGGGCTCTGCCGGCCAGCGAGGGAGGAGCCGGAGGGAGGGGCCGGCCCACGGGCTGGTCTCAAGGGCACTTCCCCGCGCCTCGCGCTGGCTCAGCACATCCCGGGGCAGGGCACAGCTCTGCGGCCTAGAGCGTTTCCTGCCAGTGACCCTGCGCCGCAGGGAGGGGGCTGGGATCTCAGCGAGGGCTCTGTCCTGGTGCAGTTGGGGCTGTCCCGGGATCCCATTAGCCCCGGCTCTGGGAGAGGAGTGGGGCTCGGTGGTTATAGGAGACAGGGCAGGGTAGTTGCTGCGAGCCAGGACTCCTGGGTTCTCTCCCCAGCTGT